GTCCGCATGCGCCCCGCACACCCAGTACAGCGTTTCGTGGCCCCATTGGGAGCTCCACCGAAGATCCCAATGCTACCGTCCGCATGCGTCCCGCACACCCAGTACAGCGTTTCGTGACCCTCCTCCCCCTCCGCCCTGCGTGTCACCCACCCAGTACAACGTTTCGTATCCCCATCAGGAGCCCCACCGAAGGTCCCAGTGCTACCGTCCGCATGCGTCCCGCACACCCAGTACAGCGTCTCGTGGCCCCATAGGGAGTCCCACCGAAGGTCCCAGTGCTACCGTCCGCACGCGTCCCGCACACCCAGTACAGCGTTTCGTGGCCCTCCTCCCCCTCCTCCCTGCGTTTCACCCATCCAGTACAACGCTTCGTGACCCCATAGGGAGCCCCACCGAAGGTCCCAGTGCTACCGTCCGCATGCGTCTTGTACGCCCAGTATAGCGTTTTGTGGCCCCATAGGGAGCCCCACCGAAGGTCCCAGCGCTACCGTCCGCATGCGTCCCGCACACCCAGTACAGCGCTTCCTGGCCCCATAGGGAGCTCCACCGAAGGCCCCAGTACCCCCGTCCGCATGCGCCCCGGAAGCCCAATTTGGCATTTTCGCTCACCCAGTGCAGCGTTTCGTGGCCCCATAGGGGGCTCCACCCACGGCTCCAGTGCCACCGTCCGTATGCGTCTGGGAAATGTAATTTGGCATTTTCACCCGCGCAGTGCAACGTTTCGTGGCCCCATAAGGGGGCTCCACCGAAGCCCCCAGTGGGACCGTCCGCATGCGTCCCGGAAGCCCAATTTGACATTTTCACCCACCCAGTGCAGCGTTTCGTGGCCCCATAGGGGGCTCCACCCAAGGCCCCAGTGCCACCGTCCGTATGCGTCCAGGAAATGTAATTTGACATTTTCACCCGACCTCCACCGAAGCAGATATTCACAATTACGGTACCCACATCTGCATATGGTTGGGACCTTCGCCAGGATAATTTGGTCCACAATTGGCGCCCCCCACCCTTCACGGACGAACCATATTTTGGGCCCCCGCTCAAACTTCGGCAAACCCAGCCAGCGCACGGGGCTTATGGAGGCAGGCAGACCGCGGGGAGACAAAATATGCGCAACAAATGAACAGATGTTTTTGGAATTTGCCGGCCTTGTAGACCACGCCCGGCAGAATGAATGAACTCCTGGGATCCTCCATGACAACATCCTGACAAACCGTTCGAGCTCCGCCCGGACGTGAGGCACGGGGCCCCCCGAGGGCCAATTACACCCTGGTGGCAGAGTGCCCAGCAGGAGTACTACGCAAGCGAAGCACTGCCATGGAGCTGGAAGCACACGTGGCTGGATTCGCATGCGGAACATGGCGCTGGCCACACTTGCGGAAGCCCAGCCTGCACTTCCATTGAAGGGCCGAGCGATGGAAAAACGTCCGGACACACTGTGGAACCAGCTCTCGCCCGGGCTGGCCACGCCATGTGCATCCAGCTTCCCGGAACACTGTTAAGGGGCCACGTGCGAACCCTACCCCTACCCCCCACGATTTCTGAGGGGGAGGGTGGGGTTCACTTCGCTCGGGAGCTTCCGAACGAAGTGAACCCCACCCTCCCCCTCAGAAATCGTGGGGGGTAGGGGCAGGGTTCGCACGTGGCCCCCTAACTGTGCTGCCCAAGCGGGAAGCTATTTGGGAGACCAGCTACAATTTTGTTACTGCTGGTGACCATCGCTAACTGAGGGAGGGGGCGGGCCGGCGGTAACGCTTGGGCGAGGTGGGGCACGTCGGGGCGGGGGTGCGCTGTGATCGCCACAGCCTGCGCGCGAGGACCAGCATGTTGGAGGGGGGCGGGGGGTCCAGGCCCCGGTAGCGGTTTGGCCCGGGTAATGGCCGCTACGCGCCAGAGGACACGACAAGCGTCTACCGTCGTGGATGCCGAGGCAGTGGACACCCTAACAATCCGATCCTTGAGCTTAAAGATGTGCTTAACACGTCGGAAAAGTGTTATGAACATGTTTCGAACATGTTTTCAACATGCTTGGAACATGTTTATAACATGTTTATTTTTTTTGGTCTGCGGGGCGAGAGCGAACCTCTTTCGGTAAAAGCTAGGCGGGCTACGTACAGCTCTAATTGGGGAGACAGGGCACAGGCGGGCGGGGCCTCAGGCGGCCGGAGGGCGGGCCGGGGTGCAGGCGGTGCCGAGGAGCTTGCACAGGAAAAGGAACGCCTTTGACAGGAGCCGGAGGCGAAGATCCGGAGGGAGAGCGGTGTGGTGATGCCGTCAAATAACATGTTCAACACATGGTTCAGACATCTGGAAATTATTTGGCAGCGTGCTTCCTCTCCACGGATCGTCCCCCACAAGTCTACTGGAGACCACACCGGAGAGCATACCGCTTCTCCCCAGACCTCTCCCGGGGTGCGCCCTGACCAGGACTTCGCGGCGAATCCAGCGGTGGCGACGGGGGCCTCCGATGAGGCTCAAAAAGGGGGAACACGGGCAGGGGGTAGCAGTATGGGTACCTTTGCCTCCTCTGAGTAATGACCGTGACGCGCCAGAGGACAAGACCATTTTTTGATTCGCGGGTCGAGAGCGCACCCCTTCCGGTCGAAGCTAAGCGGGCCGCGCGAAGCCTGAGTTAACAAAGAGGGGGGGGCAGAAGGAGAGGCCGCACGTCAAGGCCAGGAGGAGGAAACCAGAGGACAAGACAAGCATCTACTGGAGACCACACTGGAGAGCATACCGGAGAGCATGCCAGAGACCGTGGCGGGAGACCGTGCGGGGGACTATATCTATGGGAGACCAGGCGGAGGACCCTGCCGGAGACCACGCCGGCCACGAGACACTGGCACTGGACCCGGATAGGCTTGTGGATGCCACGACAATGGACGCCCTAACAGCCCTATCATTGAACTTAAGATGTGTTTAACATGTAGGAACATGCTCTAAGCATGTTTGAAACATGTGTTTCACATGGTTAAAACATGTTTAGCACCTGTTTTAGACATCTGGAAGTTATTTGGTGACTTGCTTCCTCTCCATTGATCGTCCTCCACAAGGATAAACACATACGCATCTCACAGGAAAGGTCCTACTTTGTGGAACGAGGTGTGGACATTTCCACAAACTTGCGGAATGTTCCACATAGTTGTGGAATGGTCCACAGATGAGAGAGAGCGTGATCCACCGCCGCTTTACTGTGGAAAATTGCCGCCCTTTTCCTCTGGAACCCGGGGGTCCCCCCCCCCCCTCCGAAAATCCCCCCCGCTGGAACCCCTCCCCCCCCCCTCCCCCCCCCCCCCCCCCCCCCCCTTCCCCGGCAAAAACCCCCCCTCCCCTAACCCCCCCCCCCCCTCGAGCTCGAAAACCGGGGGGGTCAATACCGGTTCGACCACCCCCCCCCCCTCGAAAACTGGAGGGGGGGGTCACTACCGATTCGAACCACTGAGCTGTCCCACTGTTCCCACCACTGTCCCCACTGTCCCTACCACTGTCCCCACTGTACCTCTTTCCCATTGTCCCACCGCCGTCCTCGCCACCGCCTTCACCACTGTCCCCACCACCACTGTACCCTTCACTGTCCTACTGTTTCCACCACATTCCCACTGTCCCCACACCACTGTGACCACCATCACCGTCCCCACCACTGTCCCACTGTCCCCACTGTTCCCACCATTGTCCTCACCATTGTCCCCACCACTACCGTCCCCACCACTGTCCCACTGTCCCCACCACTGTCCCGCTGTCCCCTCACCACTGTCCCCACCACCACCGTCCCCACCACTGTCCGCACCCCCCCTCGGTTTTCGAGGGGGGGGGGGGGTTCGAACCGGTAGTGACCCCCCCGGTTTTCGAGCTCGGGGGGGGGGGGGTTCGAACCGGCAGTGACCCCCCCCCCCTTTTCATGATGAACTCGGGGGGGGGGGAGGGGTTCGAACTGGTAGTGACCCCCCCGGTTTTCCGGAGGGGGGGGGGGGGAGGGGTTCGAACCGGTAGTGACCCCCCCCCGGTTAACACGCTCTTTCAAAGATGAGGAACTTTCTACGAAGGCAGGCGGACATGTCAGCCGTAGTTTTCTGAAGCGAAGATTGTGGCCCTACTTTTCGGAAACTCCCCACGGTATGCATGTCCCACACGACCTGAAATCGGCGAATCAACCAAAGTACGGCGGATCCGGAGTCAGGCCTAAGCCCGACCAGGGTGCATGAAGCCAGAGTAGCCTGGGCTGAGCTCGGACTTTGGCCCGATTGAGCAAGAGATTAAGCGGGATCAAGCAGAATACTACTGGCAGATGCTGGATTATGCAACTCTTCGACCGCGGATATACCAGCGCCCATGCCGAATTCTGCCTCCCAGGATTTGCATCCTGAGCCCGGTGCCAATCGGCGCAGGTGGCCGCCCAACGCCACTGAGCGTGCCACAGCGTGCCCCGCTCTGAGACGAAGCCAGGACAAGGACAAATTCGGGTGTGGATACATCGAGAATCTCTGAGATCCAGCGGTTCTGGAGGATGTATCGGGCGCCCTGGCTTTCCCAGAGCGTTCCAGAACGTTGTGCCGCGATAAGTGCGGGGGCAGCGAGGGCTACAGAAAATGCGCCCTTTAGGGCCCCTAAAAAAGCCCTTTAAGGTCCAGAACACCAGTGGCGGCTTCGGTGGAGCTCGCCATGGGAACACGAAACGCTTTACTGGGTGGGTGAAAATGCCAAGTGTTCTGGGACGCATGCGGACGGTTGCACTGCGGGCTTCGGTAGAGGTCCCTATGGGGCCACGAAACGCTGTGCTGGGCGGGTAAAACGCAGGGAGGGAAGAGGAGGGGGGAGGGGGAGGAGGGAGGAGGGAGGAGGGAACGCGGGGACCGTCTCTTCAAAACGAGGACCCAACACCCCAGGATGGTTGGGAATAACAAAACACAGCAGAAGCATATCGGCTCTTGAAGTAGGAAGGCGCTAGAAGATGATTGGGATCTGGGAATCTAAAAACACTGACCTTCAACGATCGACGGGTACACTTTTTTCCAACGCGAGACATCCCCCACGCTCCGCCACCCCATGCGGCGCGCATCCCAAAGAGCAAGCTGTGGCGGCGCAGGCCAACGCGGCTTCTGGCAGGCGCCGCGCGAGCACGAGCCACACAGCAAACGCCGCAGGTAACCTCCTCTAGTTCTGGAGTGCCTGGCACTGTGAACTGCTGGCCCGTGGAAGGCTTGGGGCAACTCCGATGACCAGCGGCCAGGGCAGCACGGTCGGTCCGACGACCGTGAGAAGAGACCCGCACCGAAGTCATGCGAAGTCCGCGGGCCCCTCAGTCCGCCCACAGCTGTCGCAGGGGGGGCGCTGTGCCTGGGCGGGGGAGGCGTCTTTTGGCACCGGTCCTCTCGTCCTCCTCGTCCTCCTCTTCCGCCTCAGGAAACTCGTCAGGAGAAGGGAGCAGTGGAGGAACAGAAGGGGTGAGGGGGGAGAGGAGGGGGAGGACGAGGAGGGGCAGGTCGAATGTGTTTACACACTCTTTATGTATATATGTATCCATGCATATGTGCGTATATATGTATGTATATATGCATGCATGTATGTATGTATGTATGTATGTATGTATGTATGGATGCATGTATGTGTGCGTGTATGTATGTATGTATGCATGCATCTATGCATGCATGCATGCATGTCTGTATAGATGTTTGCATGTATGTGTATGTATGTGGGCATGCATGTATGCGTGTACGGCTGCATGAATGTATGTATGTGCGTGTGAAACTATGTATGTATGCATGCATGTACGCATGTATAACGGTATGTATACATGTATGCGTGTGTGCATGTGTATGTATGTGTGCATGTACAGATGTATGTATGTATGTATGTATGTGTGTATGTATGTATGTATGTATGTATGTATGTGTGTATGTATATATGTATGTATGTATGTATGTACGGCCATGAATGTATGCACACATATGTAGGTATGTATGTATGTATGTATGTATGTATGTATGTATGTATGTATGTGTGTATGTATGTATGTATGTATGTATGTGTGTATGTATGTATGTATGTATGTATGTATGTATGTATGTATGTATGTATGTATGTATGTATGTATGTATGTATGTATGTGTGTATGCCTGTATGTATGCATTGATTCATGGTTTGTATGTATGTCTGCATGCATGCACGTGTGTATGCATGCATGCATGCATGTATACATCCATGTGTGTGTATGTATGCATGTGTGTATATGTATGTATGTATGCATGCACGCATGATTGTAGACGTGTATACATGTATGTATATATGCATGTCCAAATACACACATGAAATGCATACATATATACACATACACATGTGTATATATACATATACATATACATATATATGTATATATATATATATATATATATATGTATTGTCGTCTACACAAATATGCATACACATACATGCGCACACGCATATACGTATATGTCTATATATATATGTATAGGGAAGACTGCAGTGGCGCTTCGCGCCATGCACCTTGGTCCTTGAAGTTTGGTATGCAGGCGGAAATGGCAGGAAGGTCAAGCCGACAATTTAGCGATAACTCCTTGCTGTCTTTTCTGGCATCGCCGTTCTAAGAATGTTATTTGTTATCCTTCCTTTCCTCCTTCCTCCATGCTTATGTTTCATCATTATCGCCATACCCTGGGCATTCTCCCCATCCTTCTCAGCTCGTTTTGCGGAGGCTCCTCCTTGGAGAGCCTCTGGGGGCCTCACCAAAGTTCTCAAGCTTTCTAAGAGCCTTCTGGAGGCCTGCTGGGCGTGTTCTGGGGGCCTCTGGGGCGTCCCACTGGGGGCTTCGGTGGAGGTCCCTATGGGGCCACGAAACGCTGCACTGGGTGGGTGAAAATGGCAAGTTGGGTGTGGGGGACGCATGCGGGCGGTCCCACTGGGAGCTTCGGTGGAGCTACCATGGGGCCACGAAACGCTGTAATGGGTTTGCGAAAATGCCAAATTGAGTGTGGGGGACGCATGCGGGCGGTCCCACTGGGGGCTCTGGTGGGGCTCCCTATGGGGCCACGAAGCGCTGTAGTGGGTGGGTGAAAATGCCAAATACGGTGTGGGGGACGCATGCGGGCGGTCCCGCTGGGAGCTTCGGTGGAGCTCCCTATGGGGCCACGAAGCGCTGTGCTGGGTGGGTGAAACGCATGGAAGAAGGAGGAGGGAGGGGAGGAGGAGGAGGAACAGAGGAGGAGAAGAGGAAAAGAACGCGGGGACCGTCTCTTCAAAATTATCCTGGCGAACGTCCCAAGCATATGCAGTTGTGGGTACTATAAGTGTGAACATCTGCTTCGGTGAAGCCCCCTATGGGGCCACGAAGCGCTGCACTGGGCGGGGGGGAACGCTGTACTGTGTGGGTGGTGTGCCGAATTGGGTTTCCGGGACGCATGCGGACGGTCCCACTGAGGGCTTCGGTGGAGCTCCCTCGGGGGCCACGAAGCGCTCTACTGAGTGAGTGAAAGTAACCGGGACGCATGCGGACGGTCCCACTGGGGGCTTCGGTGGAGCTCCCTATGGGGCCACGAAGCGCTGCACTGCGCGGGTGAAAATGCCAAATTACATTTCCCGAAAATTAGCCTGGCGAAGGACCCAACCATATGCAGTTGAGAGTACCGCAATTGTGAATATCTTCTTCGGTGGCGCTCCCTATGGGGCCACGAGCCGTATGAGGGGTGTGCCGAAATGCGTGGCAGTGTACACAACACGAACGAAGACGATAGGTCCGAATATGAAAGCTTGAGCGCGTGCGAGTCGGATCGCGAGCGAGTCTGATTATGAATGAATCTGCGCGCGATTGATTCTATTCGCATGAATGCGTGCATGGATACGCCCAGTGTAAATGTATGTATACGACTGTGAACAGTTTGGGTCTGCGTGACTCTCGGTACTCGTGACTCTGAGCGTCGCCTCTGCAGGGGGCTTCCCTGGGAACCCCGACGGCAGCGCCCGCGCGCCGCGACGCCCATGTCGGCACGCCACACACCTGGTGTGCGGGACGCATGCGGACGGCAGCACTGGGGCCTTCGGTGGAGCTCCCTGTGGGGCCACGAAACGTGTGAGGGGTGTGCCGAAATGGGTGTGCGGGACGCATGCGGACGGCAGCCATGGGGCCTTCGGTGGAGCTCCCTATGGGGCCACGAAACGTGTGAGGGGTGTGCCGAAATGGGTGTGCGGGACGCATGCGGACGGCAGCACTGGGGCCTTCGGTGGAGCTCCCTGTGGGGCCACGAAACGTGTGAGGGGTGTGCCGAAATGGGTGTGCGGGACGCATGCGGACGGCAGCCATGGGGCCTTCGGTGGAGCTCCCTATGGGGCCACGAAACGTGTGAGGGGTGTGCCGAAATGGGTGTGCGGGACGCATGCGGACGGCAGCACTGGGGCCTTCGGTGGAGCTCCCTGTGGGGCCACGAAACGTGTGAGGGGTGTGCCGAAATGGGTGTGCGGGACGCATGCGGACGGCAGCCATGGGGCCTTCGGTGGAGCTCCCTATGGGGCCACGAAACGTGTGAGGGGTGTGCCGAAATGGGTGTGCGGGACGCATGCGGACGGCAGCACGGTGGGGTGGGGCTCGTGTGAGAAATCCCTGTGCGGGACTGTGCCGAAATGACGGCGGTGTGGGGAATGGAGCTGAATTTCGGTGGAGCTCCCTGTGGGGCCACGAAACGTGTGAGGGGTGTGCCGAAATGGGTGTGCGGGACGCATGCGGACGGGGCCTTCGGTGGAGCTCCCTGTGGGGCCACGAAACGTGTGAGGGGTGTGCCGAAATGGGTGTGCGGGACGCATGCGGATGGGGCCTTCGGTGGAGCTCCCTATGGGGCCACGAAACGTGTGAGGGGTGTGCCGAAATGGGTGTGCGGGACGCATGCGGACGGCAGCACTGGGGCCTTCGGTGGAGCTCCCTGTGGGGCCACGAAACGTGTGAGGGGTGTGCCGAAATGGGTGTGCGGGACGCACGCGGACGGCAGGAGGAGGAGGAGAGGAGAGAGGAGGAGAGGAGGTGGGACGCGGGGCGCTGTCTCTTCAAAACGAGGACCCAACACCACAGGATGGTTGGGAAAAAAACTGACGGTGGCACTGGGGCCTTGGGTGGAGCCCCCTATGGAGCCACGAAACGTTGTACTGGGTGGGTGAAAATGCGAAATTGGGCTTCCGGGACGCATGCGGACGGGGGCACTGGGGTCTTCGGTGGAGCTCCCTATGGGGCCACGAAACGCTTTACTGTGTGGGTGAAACGCAAGGAGGAGGAGGAGGAGGAGGAGGAGGGCCACGAAACGCTGTACTGGGTGTGCGGGACGCATGCGGACGGTAGCGCTGGGACCTCCGGTGGGGCTCCCTGTGGGGCCACGAAACGCTGTACTGGGTGTGCGGGACGCATGCGGACGGTAGCACTGGGACCTTCGGTGGAGCTCCCTATGGGGCCACGAAGCGCTGTAATGGGTGGGTGAAACGCAAAGAGGAGGGGGAGGAGGGCCACGAAACGCTGCACTGGGTGTGCGGGACGCATGCGGACGGTAGCACTGGGACCTTCGGTGGAGCTCCCTATGGGGCCACGAAACGCCGTACTGGATGTGCGGGATGCATGCGGGCGGTAGCACTGGGACCTTCGGTGGAGCTCCCTATGGGACCACGAAGCGTTGCACTGGGTGTGCGGGACGCATGCGGACGGTAGCACTGGGACCTTCGGTGGGGCTCCCTATGGGGCCACGAAACGCTGTACTGGGTGTGCGAGACGCATGCGGACGGTAGCACTGGGACCTTCGGTGGGGCTCCCTATGGGGCCACGAAACGCTGTACTGGGTGGGTGAAACGCAAGGAGGAGGGGGAGGAGGGCCACGAAACGCTGTACTGGGTGTGCGGGACGCATGCTGACGGTGGAGGAGGAGGGGGAAGAGGCGGAGAGAATGAGAACGCGGGGACCGTCTCTTCAAAACGAGGACCCAACACCACAGGATGGTTGGGAACGAGGACCCAACACCACAGGATGGTTAGGAAATATACGAATAGGAATATGCAAGCCAAAGGGGGGAGGGGGGGGGAGAACCCTCCCCTCTTCCCCCACCAGATCTGGGGCCCCAAGGCCTATCAAGGCCTCCCTGGGCGCCCCTGCAGAGGGCCCCCTGGGCTTTCTGGAGCTCCTCGAAGCCCCTGCTGAGCCTGCGCAACGGGCCCAAATCTGCCAGGAGGGCGGCCGAGGAGGCCCCCCGGGCGCCCTACGAGGTGTCCGACCTGCACCAGACGCCCAAAGACGACCCACAGCCTTCGAAACTGGCCTAAGATGAGACGAGACGCGCCTCGAAGATCCTCGAAGC